AAAAACCATACAATTTTGTGCAAGAGTAAGCTAAACAAGGCATCATGACATGAAGAATCAAGCCTTAAGACCTTTTTGGCATCTGAATTTAAGTAAAAGCGAGAGGAACAACACTTCTTTCTGGGACAGTACGCTGGATTGATGTACCATGTTGTGTGGGCTCAGAACCATGAAAGCAGATGCTCCTGTCTGCATCATACATTCATAAGAACTAACTACATTTTTTGGTTAAAAAAGAAAAAAGAAACTGCCTGGCATACCTGGTTCCTGTGTGGCCTACTTAGGACTACTGAACTGGTCTTTGAGATGCCTTATTGAAGTGGAAAGATGAATATGAATATATATTTATATACGTATGAATATATCTGTGAACATATATATATACATTCATACAAAATTATCTTTTTTTGTTTGCTTTTTTAAAGCAGTGAGTTGTAGGTGAGTTCAGGAACAAATATTTTCAAGCAAAATCTGCCTCAAGCTTTAAACAGATGATTATAACTTTAAAGAAGGTTGACAGTCTGCCAGACAAGGCAAGTCAAATCACAGGGGATCAGCATGAAGGACCTGTTGTTCTCACAAACTCAAAGTTTAGTTTCAAGGAACTGCAACCATGACAAATCATGAGTTTGTGGATGTCAGTACACCAGGGATGGGTCATTCTCATGTACTACTGATCCCTGGGGTACGGAAAGCCTAGAGGGAAAGTACCTGAGTGACATTTTAGCTTTCATGTCAAAAGAGAGGACAGCAAGCTGCCGCACAGTTTGGCTGCGAGGAGCCTGTAAAACCTCAGCAATTCTGCTGCACATCCTCCCAGCTGCTAGTATGGCTCTGGCAGTGAGCTCATCCAAAGGAGTGGGACAAGAATACTGCATCAGGCAAAAACCACTTATTTTACCAAATATCCAAGATTTTCTCTGTGCTTTTTTTCCCCAGCCTTTTCTTTTTTTCTGTTCTGTAGTCATAGCGAGACATGACACAGACATAATTTCCTAGCTCAAAAGTATAACAACAAAAGAGTAATACTCCAAACTAGCCTACTAGGAACAAGTCTGTTCCTTAGAAGTAGGAAAAAAGCCTACAAAACATACGAAGCATGTGAATTAACTACAGCCAGTGTCTCCAGAACCACTGAAAGCAAAGGAAGATCCAAAGAAACACTGATATTTATATACCTGGGGTTTTCTATCAGATCTTGCAATGTGACAACAACACATGTCAGTGTCAGCACAGGTCCTGCTGGCAACACCTTGAAAACTGCGTGGAGGTATAGAAAATAAACAGCAATAGCTGTGATTTCCATGATAAAATACGAATGTAAAGGAAAGCCTCTTGGGATCCATAATCTGGAATTGTCACGGGATACAGATTGTCTGTCTTTCTGATAAAAGATGTCAGTTCCTTTTCTGGGTTTTAAGCAGAAAGAAGCGCTTGTGATTATTAGGCTGGCTGTGTACCACGAGGGCTGTCGACAGAATCACTACACACAGTGGATGTGTCTACTTTACCTATCAACGTTCCTAAAATTTCTGTATCAAAGGAACACCGCAGACCAGACTGAACCATAGGAAACCCATTTCCCCAGCTCTAGAACTTCTAATTTCGCTCAGCACACGCAGTGGAAGGCTGAAATTTCCCGCTAGCCATACTGATCAAAAAGCTTCAACTAGGTTAACCCACATTAAGCACTCGTAGTTTTATAAAGCAGCTGATTAATTAATCTTGATGGGTTGCTGTTGCCATTTTGCAGAGCTGGGAGCTCACTCTGTGAGGTGCACGGTGCTACGTCAGGAAAGGCTGTGTGCCCTGAGCCAGCACAGTCAGCTCCTCTGCGGGAAGCACTGCCAGGCTGTCAGAAGGGGAGCCCAGGCTGCAGAGTGCTGCCTTTAAAACTAATTAAGAAGAAATGCATTCCACACTGAGAATTATTATACTCAAGTACCATTTAATACTCCAAAGAAGGCCAAAGACTAAAATATTGACCTTCCCGCTGCCAGCATCAGTTCTACTGCCAGCCCAGTGAACGGAGAAGTAAATCCTACACAAAACAGGCCTGTTGCTCAATGTTAATTTTCAAGTGTAGGAATGAAAAATGTTTTACCAAGTGCCAGTAATAAAACAGAGCTCTCTGAAAATGAATCTCTGGGCTGAATCAGCAGCAGTTTTGTACCCCACAGCCTGGTTGGTGAAAGCTCCTGGCTGGCACAGCACCAGCACATCCCTACTAAAGAAGGCTAATGGGACCGTGTTGTTTGGAGACATCACTCCAAAGCTTGAGATGACTTCTCCAAGTGCTGGAAGCGAATGAATCTAAATGACAATATTCTCCTAATATCAGATATCCTGCTAAAACAAAGCAAAATGGATGGCAAACGTGCTCTTGTTTGCCCAACTGCAACTGCATAGCTCTCAGCCACTCCACTCCCCAGATTTCCTAATGCCCTCAGCCCAGTATAAACTGGCTTGCTCTCCAGTTTCTCACACAAAACCAAGTGCATGTCCACACACTAAAGCCCAGCCCGTCTCACACAGGCCCAGTGAGTCATCCATACCCACACCAGCTGCAGGTGTGCATCACTACCCAGGGACATGACTGCTTTCCCTCTGCATTGGTTCTGGCCCATAGCAACTCTGCTCACATCACAGCAGAGCTATACATGGCTATCCACGAGAAGGAGCTTTTATCCCTCAGAACCACAACTGCAAGCCTGAAAGTGTGGATTTCTTCAAGAAATGCTTCCAGAACACCATTTCCACCCACACTGCTGCTCGTGACTCACATACATTTCACTACCAAGTGTGGGAGAAGTGCCTCAGCCCGGCCCGTTCATGCTGCACTCCTCCTGCAGTGCTCTGCTGCACCAGCACTCAGCACAGAGCCCACATTTACCCTGACACACACAGCCCTACAGGCCGTCACACAGCAACATGCTCAGCCAAAAACTCTTCCTCATTCTCATTATGTCTTGAACAGTCATCCACAAAAAGACAAAATACCCAGTTTGTAACAATCATCTGCCTCTCACTGCAGATTGCCAATGAGAGGACGAAAAGAGAAAGGAAACTCAAACACAAATGGAGACTTGCTGACACAGAAGAAAAGAAATCCCTTTCATGGGCAAGAAGAAGAGTTGGAGCTTGTGAAAATGTGAGTGTTGCTGACAGCTTTGGCTTACAAGCCATGCCAATGCTGTCAACACACATCACAGATACAATCACGGATCAATATTCGTGATATTTCGTGAGCTGTGTCCTCTTCTCTCTTTCCTGCATCTCCACCCACTTCTGAACTTTCCTCTCACCCCTTCCCTAGAGCACACCTGCTCAAAGCCCAGCATGTAATCTATGTTGATGAGCAAGTAATTTTATTAATCAACCCAGGAAGCTGGGGAGTGCAACATTTCTCAGGCAATTTCCTTCACCAGATCTCTGCCTTTCAGCTGATTTTCTGTATGTTGTGATGTCAAATGAGTACTGAGAAACACAGTGAAGGGACAAGTCAACCTCAATGGAGAGTGGATGCGTCTTGTGCAAAGCAGACAGCTCCCAACAGTTACATTTAAACCACTGAAGTAGAAATACTCTTTCATTTACTTCAGAGGACTTAGGATCAAATCTGTAGGCTTCAGTAACTCTGCAATGTTAAAAAACTCAGTTTTGCAGAATCAGTGACTGAACTATCAATCATAGAATCATAGAACACTGTGATGTCCGCTCCCACTTTATTTTATCCAAGTTTGATAAAAATATCATATCACATCACGTGTTTTTTCTTGTTTTCTTTTTTTTTTTTTTCTTTTTTCTTTTTTTGTTTAACATAGAATGTGATTATGCCAAAAGGGCAAATGGCCAGTTTAGCTGACTTGAGCCTTTGATCCTCATGAGTTACATGTCTCTTCAGCAAGGTTCTCATTTGAAGTGCTTTCAGCACCTGATTTATTAACAGTCGGGTGGAGTTAGGCTGTTTTGCAATTCCTGAGAAGCTGATAATAAATCTGATGCTCGTATCGCAGGTGGTGCTGATATTTTAGCTGGATTGCAAAAAAAGTTCGTAAACTGAAACAAATGTTCCAATATTGATGCCTCCATCCTGGAGTCCAGAAAGCAGCTTGCGAAGGCTGCTCTGATGGACATTCTGCCTTTCAGAGATTTCCTCTCTGATTACACTACAATTCAATCTTTCAAATGTCTTCCCTTCATATAATACTCATAAATTTTATTTTAATAAAAATAAGTGTCTAAAAGGCATAAACAAAAAAAAAAAAAAAAAAAAAATCCAAAAAAAACCCCTTAATTCTTCTTTCAAACCTTTAGCACATTTTGTTTAAACCAGATGTTTCCTCGACTTGCCATTGCGATGAAAGGAAACCCAATATCCCCTCTGCTTTCCAGCGCAGAGCCGCAGAAACAAGGAATGACAGAGGAAGAGCAAGAACCATCTTAACTGGGAGGTGATTATTACAGCTATAAGAGAGGGAGTGAGGACACATGCTGATGGTGGGAGCTCATGTATTTGAACATTCCTACTACCTTTTTTCTCACAGTCTAACATAATTGTAGACTGCATCAGTGTGATTCAATACCCAGCTGAAACAAAGTCAAATAAACCCCACCCACCTGTTAGGCAACATTCTGCAAATCCCGTATTAATGTCACGTTCCTAATTATATTTCACTTCTCTTGTTACATTTTTGCTATGATCCTGTCTTCATTGAAAGCAGCTTTCATCTTAAACACAGTTTTTTCCTTTCTCATCTCTCCATCTACCCACCCCAACCACCATTCATTACACTCAACCAGCTAATAGTTCCAATTTTCATGGATAATCTTCCTTCCAGACCATTTACAGCACAATATTAATTATTTGTTTTCTTTTGGGTTGACTCGTCCTTCACTCTCTCAAGCTGCACTTAGTTTATAAAGCCACCAGAAATGGTGTGATACACTTAATCAAGAGCTGAATGTCTCCCCGGAACAAAGCAAAAACATCCTTCTGCTTCTTCTACAAACTGCCATGCTGTCTTTAATGTGAAAGTAACATCAGGCAAAAAAGACAATGTATATTATCAATAAATATTTCATTCCTTTATCCAGATGTCTCCTACTCAATCACACAAACACTGGATCCTCCACATATCCAGCTGCCCGGTCCGCAAAGGACCCAAGCCTGTGCTTTAAATTACGCAGCTACTACAAGGATCTCATCTATAAACAAGTCAGGCACTTATTAGAAAAAGGTTGACAGTCCTTCAATACACATTTCAACAGAATCTTTCTCTTTTGGGGCACTGGTGATTTCCTTCTTCAGCATCAACGTGCTTTTATTTTGAGAGTAAATACAGCACAAACACAAAAGCAGGAGGCACGACTGCCCAGAATCACCACTTCTGTTGCAGAAGCAGAGTCCCTGTTTCCAACTTTTCACACTCTTCCCTCCAGTCTTTGTCCCACTCTGTGCTCAAGGAATCAGAGAAAAGTTACTTTTTTTTTCTTCTTTTTCTGCATAAACAGTGCTGCGTGGATGTGCCTGTAATGTGAAACAACCTTTGTTATGAAGGCATGGGATCATTTTCTGAGCACAATGCTTAAATGGAAAATAGAGCGCTTGGGAAAGCCGGTCCAAATTCCCTTTCTCGGTCATAGCCTGCTGATGTACAATTCAGACCAAAGGAGAGGAGACCTTCTCCTGCTCCATGGCCATAAATCTTTTCTCAGCGTTGCTGGAAAGGGCTCTGTGGCTTACATAGGTGAGACAGCTGTGAGGAAATACAGGGGATTTGCTATGGGAGAGCTTGTCTGGTTTCCTGCCTGCAAAAAGATAAGACTTCAAGCTGATGGGCATCTCACTGCACAGATGGCAATGAAACCATTATGTGCTCCTTCCACGCTCATCTCCGCTGTGCCAGAAACACAGGAAGAGATACAATCAACCAGTACGTGACCTCTTACATTCATTTGTCCTAAATCTTTTTCATTTTGGTTTGGTTTTGCTTTGGTAGCTAACCCTGTCTCCATGGGTAGTTAAGATACTGAAGGCATATCCTAATGTTGAGCTCTTCTCTTCTTAGCACTAAGCCATAGCTAAACCTCTTCTTTTCACTTTGCAAAGCTCCATGTAGTTGAGGGTTTGAGAAATCTTAAATCTTATTCTCAGTAATCACTAATGGGTTCCAGGCTAAGAATGTCAGCCTCACTGATTTGGCAAAAATTTTACCTTACACCAGCGATTTCCTTCCCAGCTGTCATCATCTTGTTACCCAGAAGCTGCATTAATCTATTATAGCTGATTTCAGAAGCAGATAATTTGTGCCTCTGCATCGACGCCCAGATGCCAAAATAAGGCCAAAGCGTTCCCAATGAGTAAACCCTGCTTGCATCTGCAAATCTGTGACCAACCAGCCCTTCCAGAACGTGTTAGTACAGCCCCTGACCTGCTGTGACTGGCACCAACCTTTCATAGCTGCAAGGGACCAAGATTGTAGGCAAAGATTATTCAGATAAACACGTCCTGGCTTCAATCCGAACACAGCTGTAGGGACGTGACACAGAGTTACAAAGGCACCAGTCTCCTTCCCTCAGCTCGCCTGTGCAAGAAAGCCTCTGGAGACTGGCTTGCTCTGGCTTCAGGAAGGATTTGCACCAACAGAAACAGAGCCAGCAATCCACCATGAAAACGTATACCTCCTCTACAACCTGTACGCCTGTGATTGTGCAAATGCAGACCCTGGAATATAATATAGGTGATTTACCACTTCCCATGCTTTGCAATCCAGCTGGGAGCAGGAAGGCAGCTTTGGCTGAAATTGCAGCTGAATTCACAAACTCCAAATTTTTTTTTTTTTTTTTTTTTTAAAGGGAGTCATACTTACACAATTTTCCCTGTTTTGTTAACAGTTGTAAAGAGAGGTGGCAATGCTTGGAAAGTGTTTGAGAGCTGACATGACAGAATGCAACAGCTTTTCAGCGTCTCAGTGGTCGACTGTGTAAATTAGTAGCTAGTCCATTTTACAAATGTATATTATTTACCCAGCAGATGCTGTTACGGTCTCTAGTGTAAATTCATAATTAGACTACGTACTGCTTTGTGAAAATCCTTTAATAACAAAGGTGCCACTGGGTGCTGAAATAATTAAATCAACCCAATTGAAACAACACTAGTTCGCCGCTTCAACTCGGGTGATATAATATTACACATTCCTGTAAAAACAGCCAGAGAAATCGAGAATGATCAGCTACAAACATCAGATACAAGGGATAATGTTACCCGTTCAGTAGCCTTCAGTTTGGCATGAGTCTAGTGTCACAGTTGAAAAAGTTGCAGCCAACATACCAACAGCACAGACAAAGAACAGATGATCCATCTCCTCTGCCATCTATCATGTGCAGCATTGCCAACTCCAGGGCTTTACAAGCACTGACATTTAAAACAAAGTATGTGTCAACCATATTAAATAATATACCAAGCTGTGTGTTATTAAGTGTGGGGTAATTTGACCACAGCAATTAAACTGAGATTAAAGAATGATAAAGGCAACGTTATACGCGCTGTTCAGTGGGGTTTTTGGAACATATGGAGTCCTGAATATTTCCAAGTGTGAAAGCCACATCAGATATTAAGGCGCACGTCAGTCATAATCAACATCCTCCTTCTGCACCCTCCCTCCTCCCCTTCCCCCCCATGAGATGGTGCTTTCACACAGCGATAGCTTTTATTCTGCACATATTCAACAAAGGAGATGTCTTCTGACTCGAGGCTCCAGGCTGCAGCCCAAGGGATGTGTTTGCAAAGCAATAGTTTAACATGGTAGCACGCTAAAAACACACAATTTGTCAGACTCTTTTGCAAGGCAAGCAGTGAGCGGGCAAGGCACAGTCACTACGCACACAAGGCCACATGCTCACGGGCAAACAGTTGATTTTCAGACCTGGTGAAATAACATCCTCCTTCTCAAAAGGTTTTCTGATTGGACTCCAATGGGGATTTTGCACTTAGCCATCTTTTCTGCACACATGAAAGTGAGTGCATTCTGTCCAGTTCAGGCCAGTCAAATCCATAGAAAGCTAAAACGTAAAGGGCACAAGGCAGCTCATCAGCAATCTGCTCTCACACCGTGTCTGCAGGCATTTCCCCTTCCAACAGGGCAGCCAGACAGAGAAGCAGTCAAGACCCCAGGTCTACAACAGCCAACAAAGGGGGCATTGGAAAATCAGAGCTGGAATTTCCTATCTGCAGTCATATTCTGGAAGTATTTTATTATTTAGAAGAAAAGACAAACTTATCATTCAAGGTGAGCTCGCATTCCTCAATTACACAGTTACCAATCATGCTGTGAATACGCTCTCAGATAAGTGGGGGGACACACTTGCTTAGCAACTGCAGTAAGTGTGGGTCAATTATAACACACCTCGCTTTAATGCGCACAAATAAAAATCCTAATAAAACGATTGAAGCTCATAATCCATTTATAAACAATGTCTCTTACAGTGATCCTGATGGAGAGCCACCACAGCGCTCCCCATAGATATCGTAGCCTTCCTTCTTTAATATTTCCAGCTGGCTGCCTCTGGGACATCTTGGAAAATTTCAGGTAAACAACGCTTCTCTAATATTTGCTCATCTCAAACCTGAACGATTCTGGCATAGGAAACAGAGGCTTTTAAATATCCATCTGTAGTTTAAAAGCCAGCTTTCCCTGAAAAAAAATATCTGGAAGAATGAATAAAATTTTAAAAATAACCACAGCACAAAAGGAAAACAAAGCGAAACATACATGCAAAGGAACAAGTAGACTGAGATGAAAGATCCTCAATTTGGAAATGTCCGAAGGATTTTAAAATATTCCCAGAACTCAAGGAATCAACAAATAATATAATGATAAAAATATCATCCCGAAAATTACTGAGATGTGAAACATTCCACAATTGCTAAAAAAAATAAAAAAATAAAAAAAAACAGGCAGCATGCTCAGATCTGATAGGATGCTGACATTGCTAACAATGTAAACTGCTTACCTACTATTTGAAGGCTTTTATGCATATGAAAAAGCAGGCAATTCTTGCATACCTTTCCCTACTTGCTTATCTGTAAGCACATAAGTAGTTCCATTGCAATCAGTGAGGCTGCTCAGATTCTTAAAGCTAAGCACAAGTTTTATTCAAAAGGAAAAAGAGAAAGGAAAGGAAAAAATGAAGCTTACTGAAATGCGGAAGTTAGACCTGCTGCAGTGAACCTTTGGGATCACTGTTTGTCACTGTTTCAAAACGTTAATAAAATTATAGATCTGTATGCCATCATATCCTTATCCAATGTACCACACAAAATGCCTTTGCTTTCCATCTTTTGTTAATCTCATTGCCTTCAGTGTAATGCTAATAAAGTTCTTTGTCTAATGATGTCCATTTAATTTCCTGAATTCAATTTCTATTCTCTGGATCTCTGAATACAACCCCAGTACTGCACACCATTCTACTATCCCTGAACGAGATTTCCAACACCCTAATGCACTGGAAGAGGAGCCTAATGCACAGCAACATGTATTTACCTCTAGTGAAGACTCAACCATTGTAAGAGGAGAGCACATAGGCCAAAGCCCTGTGGACACAGAAATTGCTGCAGTCTGAGTCCAACATCAGACAACTTCTTTCTATTCTGAAAGTTCCTTCTTGGCATAGCCTGATTCTACAGCGCTACAATCAGCGTTACCAGTAAGATACCAGTTGTTACATCTTCTGAAAAGGAAACACAGATGGAAGAAACGGTCTGGAAGCAGCCTCACCTTCACCCAGGAGAATTTCCAACACCTCCGTGGATGTCAGAGCCCTATTGCTGGAGCTCAGCCTACAGCACTAGGGCCACCACAGGGCCACGAAGGCCAAGACAGCAAGGACGTATTATGGGGTATCAGCCGCCTGCCCATCTTTCAAGATCAGGGCAGCGATTTTTATTCTGCTCCATTTCAAACTATTTGTCCACCCTTGCTGTCTGCCTCTAGGCACCTGTATGAGCCCATACTTTTTCCCGTTGCTGTTCCTATGCCGTGGCCCATGAGAATCAAGTAGAATATAGGAAAATAAATCAAAATTTAAAATACTGCACTCAAAAAAATATTCTCTCAACTGTAATAACAATTGCCAAATCTCACTGCACCTTCTTTTTAATAACTGAGCTATAAACCCCTCAATAATGAGGCTTGTAATGGAAAAGTTGAGCCTCCCTTTACTGCTGCGGCCTGAACTTGCTTCTATAATCAGCTATTTTTATCAGTTACTTCATTCCACCTTAGAGAAATGACCGCTGGCAGAACAAGTCGTGTTTCATTTACAGACACTCCGGTGTGATCCTTTCACTAAGATCCAGATGAAAGAAAGCAAGAGAAAGAAAGAGCAAAACGATGAGAGGTTCGGAGGGAAGAGAGATGTACCTCACTGCTTCCCTGAGAAAGTCACCAGTTTCCCGTTCAGAGCCCACATGATTCCATACCCAAACAGCACCTCACTACCAGCAGCCAGCCTTCTCCTGAAAGGCCT